CACTAAGCTATTAGGAATGTTTCCTTTAAAATGAGACTGACACCAAACCCATTACAGGATGCATACGGGACTTGAGACTGAATGGGCGTCATGTTCCACTGGACGGCCGTTCCAGTGAGGCGGTGTCTCTGCTGGGCTCCCAGGGTGTCAGCCACGGCTGCTCGTCCGACTCCTGCAGGGGGCACCAGTGCAGCCCCCCCCTCACCTGCGTGGACTTGTGGCGGATCCACGAGTGCAGGTGAGAGCTCCTCCCCTGCCCACCGCCCCCATCACCCCCACCCCTCCCCGCCTACCCTCCCCAAGTCCTGATAAACAGCGTCTGTCAGTCTGTGATGGGCGTGTGGGCGCCCCCCCACGCTCTCCGCCGGAGATGAAATCGTGTCTGTTCTGATTTCCCGCATCAGTTTTGATTCCCGCAGCTAAAAACGGCAGAGCTGTCGCTCTCCCGCATCCACCCGCGGAACATTCCGGCAATTTAACCTGTAGTAAACGTGTCAAAATGCACTTCTTGAGCTGTAGATGTAGGATGGTTCGAGCTTCGAGTCCCCCTTTGATGTTACTGCTCAGTGTCATAATTACGAATGTCGGTTTGAGGAAGAACCTTAAACTACAGAAGTCGGGAGTTTAGAAGACCGATCTGTTTCCTGGTTAGTCATGTTTTGTGTTTTTGGGCATTTTTCTGGGTTAAGTATTAACTTGGTTAGACTGCCCTGATCAGGGGCAATTTTATGATTTTTTTTTTTAAGTGTTTGGAACATAACAGGGGTCAGGAGTCATACTGTTTAAAATCTGTCAGTGGCAGTAGAGAGGACTCTCTGACAGCCAATCAGCTTTCAATGAGGGTCAGAGCCCTTGTAGCCCCGCCCCTGACCCTGAGTGTCGATAAGGGTTTCATAGCGAGGTCCCCGCAGTAAGCTGGTGGCAGTGACAGTACGCTGGCAGGAGCCCAAGCCGAAATGCTCTCACCAGCGTTTCATGTGTCCTACAGGTGTCCCGTGGGTCACATGGCCCGGGAGAATGCCACGGGCAAGGTCTGCATCTACACGCTGTGCGCCAGCCAGCCATGCCGGCGGGGCACCTGCGTGGCGCACTCCCCCACCCAGTTCACCTGTCACTGCCCTGAGGGCTACAGGGGGCGCCGCTGTGAGGTCACACTGGCCGTCTACCGAGACGACCTGGGACTCAGCTTCAGCTCCATGTTCGCCATCTCTATCTGCTTCCTGGCGCTCCTAGGTACCCATGTCCAGTATATCGTGTGCCACCTGTGGTAAAGCCCCCCCCCCCCCCCCCCCACCAGGCCCGCTGTCTGTGCCCCCCTCCCACCCTACATCTCCCATCTGTGCTGTTTTCCCCGTTGCATGTTTATTTATCTGTGAGTCACTGAAAAACCAATGTTTCTGTCTTTTGATCATCTACTTTACATGTTGGAGAATGAATTGGAAACTGGGCTGGGCCGCATTTGCCCGTCGGCAGAGTAACGCAGGATCGCTGCTGTGTTGCCGTTGTGCTGGAAAACACGATCCTACTCTGTCATTTCAAGGAATCATCCCTGTGGTGTCAAAAGGAGCTTCCCAAGAAAGATATTCACTCCATTCACTCAGTCCATGGGGGGCTCACTGACATCCTTATGGAGGATGACCCAGACTCATCCTGAGCAGCTGACAAAACTAGCAGGGCGCTAACTAGGAATCCTGCCGTATTCAGTGTGCCTTGTTGGGGAAGAAAGGAGGATATTGTTTGTAGTGAACTACAAATTCAAACATTTTCTATTAAAAATGAATTTTCCCTTCTGCTATGATGCAAATGAGCAAATGAAACAGGCGCAATTTTCCGGACAACGCTGCGTTTAACAATGAGTTGTTTTCTGTTTACCGGCAGCGATTGCCACTTCAGCAGTGTCGCCACGGTGACCTGCAGGCACATGGTTGCGGGACCACGGTGTTTTTGGTCTTGGTGTTTATTCGGCATTTGCAGCATCGTTAGGGGATGAGTCGGTTAAATGGTGAAAAGTTGAATGCAGAAGTCTGAGCTTTCCCCGCTATTCTGGTCAACAAAAGCCGACTTGCTGAAGGAACCTTTTCCTTTCCAGACTAACAGGTTTATCGCCCGAGCGTTCCGCCTCATCCCCACCCCCACCGCTCCCACTCGCAATTTTAATGCATCCTGCTTGCTGTTTATCTCCCCAAGCATACATCACACAGAGTTGTGTTTTTCAGTCTCTCTGCCATAATCCCATTGGCCCGTTGTAGGGGGTACCTGGTGCTCTGGACAGCAACTGAGGCCGCAAACGGTCCTGGGTTCGAGGCTGACACCAGGTGACTACTAAGACTGAGGGAGTGAGCAGATGAAATCGTTGGCCTCGATTCCACCTCATCGCAAGTCGCCGTGCTCCCTCAGGGAGTTATGGGTAGTCCCTACTTAAACCAATCACATGACCCATCTCTTTGATTGGCTGGTGCGTGTTCAAGGTGGAACGACAAAGCCAGCAGTCAGCGCAGTATGTGTCAGGCATGTGAGATGGCAAAATACCCTCACAGCTTTTTACTCAGTAATGCCAGGGCCGGATCGTGACCTTCACTAAAGGGTACTGCACGTCTGACCATGTGTGAGCCATGCTATTAGGGTGCTCAATCCAGTTTGAGTCTACAGGTGAATGTTTCCACCTCACCTTAACTGCCCTCTCCACCAGATCTCCCCCCTTTATCTCTGTTTTGTTTTTTTTTAACCCCTCATTGTACAGTTTTTTTTTTGTTGAATGAAAGCTGATTTTTTTTTTATGAAGAACAGCGATTTCTTATGAAAAACTGTGATTGAGGCTGAGGGTTTTTTTTTTTTTAATTTGGACTATAATACAAAGAAAGAAACTCCACTACAATATATAATGTCATAGGCCATTGCTATTGGAAATGTTCCTGTGATTTTTATTACAAGAGTAAAAGAAATGTCCAAACCCCCTCCGTCTCTCCCTCTCTCTCTCACTCTCTATTATTTCTTATTCATCCCTTTAACCTTCTCACGGTCATTTCCTTTCTCTCATTTCAGTTCTTCATCCCATCCTGCCTCATATGTGGGATTATTTGGCCCTGGTATTATATTTGAACATTATAAGTTAATCACAGAAAGTCCTCACAGAAAGCTGTGCCGAGTCTCTCTCCAGACATTGGGGTTGTGGGTTGTCAAAGTGGGTTTCTCCCCTTACCTGCTGGATTCATAGCTGGGGAGGTAGATGCCAGCATTCCAGGAATAATAGGGCAGTCAGCGCTTTCAGGTACTGCATAGCTCATCACTGGCAGCGGCCCAGAGGAGGGGGTGAGAGGTTTGATAGGGAGCATGGGGGGGGGCGGATTCAGTCGGTCACTGAGAGTTTTTTGCTCATAGCAGGTGGTGTGTGGTTCAGTGGGTCAGGGTGCTGTGCCCGTGATCAGAAGGGCGCTGTTTAAAATCCCAGGGTGGGTGGAGTGATGCCATCATTGGGCCCCTGAACAAGGCCTCCAGTTGCTCCTGGGATTGGCTGCCACTACTCTCTCAATTAAAAATATGTGTCATCTTGGATAAAAGTGTCTGCAAATTAAATAGAATGGTAAATGTAAATGATCATGGCCCTGGTTATGTGTGTATGTTCACCCTATGTTTGTCTGAGTTTCTCCTTCTGCAGTGTTTCTCGCTTAGCCGTAGAGTGTGATATTATGCATGTGCGATGGACTAGCCGTCCAGGGTGTCCGCTGAATTGTGAGGTCTGGAACGGAATAGCATACCACCAGTGAACAGCCCCTCTCACTGCCAGTTGAGACATAAACAAGGTCATCACGTGCAGAGAGACACACACTTCCTAGTGGTTCTCATTGTACACACCGTCTGTCTGATGCCTGTAATTGGCAGTGATGTAAGACCCGCCCCTGCAGTGAAAACAGTGATAGGATGACTAGTCTAGGGATGGGGCTTCTAAATGTTAAACTGATAACTTTAGTGACCAAAATTTTGCTGGAAAGAAGGGCCCTACTGTTATACCCTTAAGCAAGATACTTAAATCACTTTAGTCAAGTTAATGTATGCTGCTCTGAATTTTTGATAAATTAGTAAAAGGAATAATTTAATGTGAATCTATACTGGTTCAACAGCTGTGACCAAAAAGATGGACAATGTCTCGGAGGAGGAGAAGTTCCTGCAGTGTTCTTCCAGACTTAATCCAGATTGTTTCTGTTAAGATCCAACTTAAATGTAAGAGTGGTAAGCTATAAAAGTCACTTTGGGTAGTGCTTGATAAGCAAATAAATAATGTAAAACAATGTGATATTGTGGGAGCGGAGGCCCGGGGCCACAGAGAGCGGGTCTCTGTAAACAGCATTATGGATTGATGCTCAGCTTGGACTCCTGCCTGGCTGGTTGTAATTTATTTAGTGGTGAGCTCATCACGTTAGAAGCAGGCAAACCGCCAGTCCACACTGTGGAACTTAACTAAGGCCCCGATGCATTTCCAATGGTTAAAAGTGGGTCAAAAGTGGGATTTATGCAGGCTGCCTTGGAAAGAAATATGGGAAATGAATAATGTAATAGAGAGAAGATGTCTATACCCTAGGTCCTGTTATCCAGGTAGTCTCATCACCCTGACCTTAGTCAAGCTGGTTTTATAATTTCCAATTTATGAAGGATGAAGGAAACTCTTTTGTTATTAGTCAATTAAGAGCAAATGTCATGGATATTTTAAAGCAGTAGCCTTGTGACTAGGAATACTCAGATACTTTTAATTATATTGAAACTTCACTCACCTCGGTGTTCTAAAAGTAGGAGACTTAAAGTCCTGAGAATGATCAACAGATGTCTTAAAACCTCACCGAATTATCTCTATACTGTATATAGACTTGTGATACAATCTCATCATGATCCTTTTTGCAACCATTTGCTACAGAAGGGAAGGTCTACGGGGTAAATTAACTAGCTTCCTCATAAAGGATTCCAGCACCTTCTGTAAGATCTTCCACATCGTGTGAACACTGTGAATCTAGCTGTATTTCATGGTAGAATCCGAACCTGAGCTTATTGGTCACCTTCAAATATGGATGTGATATCATCCACTTGCAGGTGGGATGCTAATGTATGAGTAAGCTTAGTGACCAAAGATGTCTGTCAATCAGATAAAGACTGGTACGTTACAGTAATGTCAGATTTCATGGTGGGTTTATCCATGTAACTTATGGCCTTTTCACCTATCATTGTGTGTGAGTAAGTTCTTTTGTCCTGTGATCTTCTCTTCCCCATTGTCCACCAAGTTTGAAGTTCATAGGTTATGGACATTAAGTTCTGGCTACTTGCCAAGCAAAGAAATCAGCTACATGCTGTCTCGCAGATAATTAAAGCTGATTTCAGGAGCATTAGTCACCATCCATTTCCTAAATTGGGTCTCCCTACAAGAGCGTGAAGTTCTTTTTTGCTGTTCAGTATGGTGCTAAATGTGAGATGTATAGTTTGGGTAAAACCAGATGCTGCGAAAGTGATTAATTAAATCACAGTTTGAGCAGAGCAGAAGAGTCCATCTGCATTCTGTGTCTTTTCTAAGTCTGAAGAACCTTAGATGAGATGCCCAGCCCTAAAAGTTAGAGTTTAGTGTCAAATTTTGCCATTGACTTATGTGCTGGAATAGTTACATGTTAGGTGTGTTCTGGCTCTGCTCAAAAGCACGGGACTGAGGTTTGACAGATGTGGCACCTACTAGGGCTGGGCATTATTAGCCAAAAACCATATCTCTGTATTTTTCAGCAGAATGGCAATACATGGTTTACACCTTGGAATTTTATGTGTGTGATGTCACAAAAACTTTAATTTACAATTAAACCAAAGTGTGGAAAAAATGAATGCAAATACAGGGTTTGCTTCCCTGTACAACTGCTACTATTCAGCATTGAAATTTTCTTTACTCCAAAGAGCAGAGTCTTGAAATAAAAACAAAAATAAATCATGCCCAGCAGTTACGACATTGAAGTGTTTCACTCCATTATGTCCACTAACAGACTTTTTTCTCAGTTTATGACATTGCTCTCAACACAGAAGGTGAATCTTAAAAAAAATCTTAAACCTATTTAGAAAATAGCTCTAAAAACACAACCCAGATAACCATCTGAAGTGCATGTAATAACTGGAAAGATCCTTATTTTAAGGTATTAACCTTCAGTAATATATTTAACCCGAGTCATCTGGATTTTTTTCTAAAAGAAAATGAACCAATTAACCACGACTCCTCACATTTCACCTCCATCAGCTTTCCCGTGACCTGAATATTTTGATTTTAGCTGTGAATTCTGGGATTCTGTGCAACATTGCAGTGCTCTTGTGTTGTTTACAACCAACTAAAGGTTTCTTTTAATAATCTTACTATTCCTTAGTTTGGGTATCAAAATGTCATCCCTGTTAATGCAATCAAAGGAATAATAATGTGTGAATGGCTGGCTCTGGTGCATCGTTCACAGTGGCGGATGTAATAACTGTGATCAGGATAAGAGCGATAGAGTGAGGTTGGCAAGTAAAATACCTTGAAGTTTCAATACAGTCCCAGTGACAATTGTCTGTGCGAGTTCCAGGTAATGGCTGCAGTTCATAATGTATTTACGTCACTTTGCTAGAGCAATATCAGTTGTATGGATGGAAGAAAAAAGCTACAGTAAATTCTCCTTTCTCCTTTCTTCCGTGGTGCCGTTGCCTGGCCTGCTCTAGTGCTGCTGTTGGGCATATTCCTCTGGACACGCTGGAGGTCCTACAAGGGCCTGAAAGAGGGTGTCTACCATGTGTCGGCACATCATGATGGCTGGGAGGACATCCGGGAAAATGTGCTCAACTACGACGAGGAAGGTGGCGGGGAGGAGGACCAGGTGAGCCGCCCAATGAGCACCAAGCACTGCCTTCTCACGTCCTAAACACACACACATGAATGTAGACTTCGTTGTGTCTTGGGGCCTACTGGAAACTTGCCCACCATGGCGTCAGAAGGTTGTAGCTAGCTAGTTTCAGAATAAGGAATGTATTTATTTAATGTTTAGTGTAGTGATTGTTTGTGGTCAACAAGGGGCCCCAAACCTCGGGGGCCCCAGCTAAAAGCGTGGTTTCAGGGGTGGTGCACATTGCTGCTGCCTGCAAATGCATGCTGTGAAATGCGCCAAGAAGAACGCATAAGCACATCAAACATTTATCCCCACATATGCAAGGAGACCCCCACATAAACTAATGCAGGCAAATTTGCCCAGGGAGGATATTTTTCATTCTAATGCCTGTTTTTAATGCAATGAATTCTTCAGAGGAACATCAGAGGGGTTTAAGTGTCTCTTGGCTGAACATTCTTGACTGAATCAGAATACCCCTTAAAAACAATGTCCATTAGAGCCCACATATGAGAGCAATACACAAATAGTTTATCAATATCTCAGTACTCGATTGATATTTCTACATGATTCCCATAATGTGGCCAGTAGGGTGGCACTGTTGCCTCAGATTTCCAGCATTGGGGTGGAGGATGGGGGGGGGGAGGGTTGGATTTCACCTCTGCTCTGTGTGCAGAGTTTGCATGTTCTCTCATACAGGTTTACTCCTGCAGTCCAAAGACCTGCTGTTATGCTAATTGGTGTCTCTACATTGTCCATAGAGTATGACTGTGTGTGCCCTGTGATAGACTGGCATTCCATCCAGGTTGTACCCCAGCCCTGTGCCCGGTGCTGTGTGGGATAGGCTCCATACCCCCACCCCTGTGACCCCAACCATGGTTCGGATAAATGGTTGAAAGTTGGATGAAAATTTTCAGTAGTCAGACCAATGTTATAGAAACAAAGTTGGTGTTTAGATTAATACATAAAAATTTGTATAAAAATGTAATCTGGAGAGTATGACTCTATGGAAGGAGATGTGACTGTTTGCTTGAGAATTGTATGTTTTAGAGTTCCTTCCGGTGACTGTCTGGATGTGGGCATCTAGCTTTGTTGTGCGGGATTGCCTAGACCTAATCTAATCACTGGATCTTTTAATCATTTGAGAGTAAATCTCCTAACACATTGTCTCAAACTGCCATCTCCATCGCAGTAATGACGCGGTGCACATTGCGAGAGGCATCGATCCCGGGATTGTTAGATTAACGGAGAAGCGATTAAACAGGCACGTTGGGAGGGATGTAGTCTGCATAATCTGCAGCGTTCGTTCACGTGAAAGGGCAATCTCTGAAAGGGCAATCTCTGAAAGGGCAATCTCTGACACCGCTGCCATCTGTATCACTTTGAAATCGCGTCGATATTTTACTGATAACCATGATCACATTCATATGCGTTTATTTGGTGGATAAATAGAAATTAGAAATTACTCGAGTGTTGAACATCAAGCGTTTCTCTCATGGTTTTTTGATTGCATAACCAGCCCCTGGGCTCTTGCAGAGTTTTCAAATGAAAACGAAATGTAGGTCTATCTGTAATGCTGGTTAAATTTAGAGTATTTACATAACCAAAACTTTCGTTAAATGAAATATTAGTTAATCTGATATTCACTTCTATTTAGTTTAAGTGTTCTAAGCTTCACACCAAAGAGGCTTATGTGGCAAACTAATTTAGATTTGAAGGGGTAATTATATATTCACTGTATTCAGAATTGGGAATGTGCTTGAAAACTGAGAGTATTATTGGATAAATTTAAAGGCACTACTGATGACTTCACTTCAAAGCAGAGGTGCATTTACATAGACAGTGGCCCATTACTATTTGACGATGTAGTTTTCGACTGGTTGGGGGGGGGGGCTTTTTGAGGCCCCTTTTTAGCCCCTGCATTACAGCACCACTGCTTCAAACTTATTTCATAATGTTATTTCACAACAAGATACCAAATTTTATATAATATATTCACAATCCTTGAGGTGTTGTGAATGTATTATAGAAAGCATGGTATCTCGTTAAGGAATAGCCAAGTTGATCCTTCTCGTACTTTGAGAACATAACCTTTTTTGTGGTGTGTCAAGTAGAAAAGCCCCCCCCCCCAAGTACCACTGAATATTTTATTGTTTGACAGAAATTTCATTCTGTTATCGTGTTGTATAATAAGTCAGCCAATCATCTCCCTGCCCCCTTTACCAGAATGCCTGCATTTGAAGTCTTGAATTTGTTGTTCCTCCTGATGTTTGGAGTGTGTAAATTCAGCCACTCGTAAACATCAGTTTCCAGGACTGTGTGGAATTAATTATTAGTATTAAGGTGGCACTAATACCAATTCATCCCTGACCCAGCTCTCCCAGACCAGCTTCCTGGTTCCTGTTTTACTCCATCCTTCCTTAAATGCCAAATGTTGCTGTTATTCTTATCATACATTTGCCAGTTGAACACCCTTTGAACAAGCTCCATTCGCCTGCCAGTGACCCCCAACTACATTACAGCTCCCAATAAGTCATTCTGCTGCACTTGGAGAAAAAAAAAAAGTTCAATGTAGTTCAGTTTGTTCAAGCTGGTGTTATACATTTACATTATATTTGGTTAGCAGATGATTTTATATAAAGAAAGCAGGGTCAGACAGTCCCTGGAGAATTGTAGCAGTTTCCATTTACTTTATTGTCTAAGAAGATCATAATTGAAGCAGATGCTGAGTTATTAGCCGGTGTGCATGTATCAGATCAGATGGCTGCATGGCTCTTTCCCCTCAGAATGCTTATGACATGGCGGAGCTGCAGAAGTCTCTTCAACCCAGCCCGGCTCAGTCCGTACAGTACAGCCGGTGTCGAGGGGGCCACCACCCCCCTGCCGGTCAGCAGGATCCCGGGAAGAGCGACAGCAGCTGCAGTAGCACTTTGGTGCGACGGGACGTCCCCCCTGCGAGACCCCCGCCCCAGGCCCAGCCCAGTCTGCCGGGCCGCCGCAGCCTGTCCTTCTCCAGCCAGGATCTGGCGCGCTACCTGTGCGAGGTGATCCGCGATGCCGACCAGCGACCAGAGGCGGCACCCTTCGACTCGCTGCGGGTCTTCGCCACCGAGGGCGGCGGCTCCCCAGCCGGCTCGCTCAGCTCCTTCGGCTCGGCCGGGCCGGATGAGGACAAGGTGCAGGAGTGCCTTAAGGAATGGGGGCCGCGCTTCGAGAAGCTGCGGGCGCTATACGAGCGTGCTGAGTCTAGCGACCTCTGAGCGGGACACTGGGACTGACCCACCCAAAGAGGACTGACCAGGAGTGAGCCAGGAAAACCATAGGTGAGCCACACTGCTCTGCCCCGTCCTGCCTGCCTGGGCCTCAAGGTCGCCTGGTGCTCTGCCACTTTAGCCACGGGTTTGCCCTGCATCAGGAACTTGCTTGCCGGTGTCAGGTCCGGATCAGGCCCAGTGCAGGTCTACGCGGGACCAGATGCTGCTTTTTCCTGCGGCAGCCTGCAGGCTTCTTTGATCCTGGCGCAACAATATTTCCTTAACGATTGACCATGTGACCCATGGATTCTTTGATACAAGTGCAACGATGTTTCCTTAACACCTGGTCACGTGACCTTTGGGCTTCTTTGACCCCGGTGCGACAGTGTTTCTTTAACGATTGATCACGTGACCCACGTGCGTCGTTTAGTACAGTACATGCTGTTACATGTGTATAATCAATGTACAGTTGTCACGTAAGGTTTTAGAGTCTTCACGTTTAATGGTGAGGGATGGGTTCAGTTGGAAAACTAATAAATGAGCCATTGGTGTAAAAAAAAATTAAAAAATAAAAGTGAAATTGCATTCCAAAGACTGGCACCAGTTGTGTACTTCAAAAAGAATTTCTCTGGGTGTATAAAGTGCCCTAGCATGAAAACACATGATGAATGTTTCTTTATTCAGTGATCGTCCATGGAGGGCCAGGCAAAACTGTTTACAAGCTATTAAATGACCAGTCTGGGTTAAATTTAGTCTGTCAGTAGGGTAAGTAAGGGGTAAAACACTATTTCAACTGGATCTCACCCTGAATGGTGATGATGGGGTGGGATTGTAATTTTATTTTATTGAGCATTTAAAGGCACTTAAAATATTATATATTACTCTTCTAAAAATATGACCTTTATAGGAACTGCCATTCTTTTGTATAAAACTAAGATTTTATCCTTGCAAAAGAAAATGTAAAAGATCCTTGCAGTCATGTTAATTCCAGCTGGTGCCTGAAGAATGGCCATTAGAGTCATGGGTGAAATTATAAATGGAGAGATTTTATTTTTCTTCATTCCGTATTAGGCAAAGAAGGACCATGAATCCGATTCCGTATTTTACTTTAATGTGCTCATGCGAGTGTGATTATACCATGCTGCCAGACTGCATGGAGAGCGAGGAAAGCTCTTCGGAAACTGCAGGGACACATGCAGGTTAGCGTACTGCTAGGTCTGTCCTAAAACGATGTTTCTCAGTTGGACGTATTCATATCATCTGTCTGTCTGTCTGTATAATGTACCAACCATGTCATTGCACTTTATTTCCTCTAATACTCCTAGTGTGGTGCTGAGCTTGCCAGCACAGCAGTGTGGGAAGCAGTGGGTTAAAAGGCATCAGCTCTCTAATCCTAATGCAAGCTGATTTCTGACTTCCATGCCGCGAGCCCGTGAAGGCCCCCCGTTTGCGGGGGATCACCGTCCGTGATTTGAATATGAAATTCAAATTTGCCGATTTTTTTTAAAAAGGTAGCAGCACAGTATGTGTGGGATATGGGGGGGGGGGTAGCTGTGATGAGCTGCATTTTCACAAGAGGCTTCTTCCTGGGGGATGTAGCTAAATTCTTTTCAAAGGAGGTGGGCACCATTTATGACCTGGAATCTAATTAAAGTGAAGCTAACATGTAAATGCTTTTCTGTGCCATTTTAGGCTTCATATTTGCTTATACTATAGCCAGTACTTACCTCCGGCGGTCAGTACACTTCCTGTAATTTCCCTTTTGAATTTGTTCAGTGAATAGCTTTCAGCTATGTAGTGGGCATCCAAGTTTACCTCATTTGTACAGCGAAACATTTTAGTTTGTAATAAAGAAAAAAAACTTGAATTCAATTTGCTTCTACGAAAGTGCACACAAAAAAAACCCTTAAAACTTTAATGCTGTTGTTCACTTGCATTAATTAGCATAGTTTTCTCACAACCAAAAAATATGTTTGCTAAAGTGATTGGCGTTTGTTTCCAAAATACTCTGCAGTAGTTTGGGTTGACTAGTGAGTTTAACATCTGTATCACTATTAGTATCAGCGACTAATAGTAACCAGTCACTACCTGCTCCCAATTTACAGAACTCGCCTTGAAGTATCTGTGAAGCTGGTAATGTTTGGTCAGAGTCTGTCACAACTCAGAGGTCACATGAAGACTGGTGCATACACTGTCCTTCCTACACTAGGCGATAAGCCAAGTATTGATCGTTACTGGGATATTAAGTAATGAAAAAGAGATTATATAAATGCCCTAATGTCTCACTGTCTGGCACACAAACCTGGTCTTGAGATGTACTGGTTACCTCTTCATCTGTGTATTTTAAGGCACCCAGGTTTGCTAGGCAAGGTTGTGATGGTTCTTTCCATGAACTTCGCAGATGTTACATAAGAGAGGGCACATTTAAAGATCACTGGAAAGATTAATTTATGCAAATTACCAGAGGCGGAGTTCAAGTACGAAGCGACATTAATGCTGATTGTTTTGTGATGGAAAGTGCTGGTACTCACTGCTGCCATATATATGCTGGTACGTCCTTCCTCCTGATTTGAAACAACGGCAGTAATCACTCCCTAATAGGTGAAAGCCAGGGGAGGTGCCCAGCTCCGTGTGGATTTTCATTTCTCAAATGCTGGATTATTGTAGCGTGAGCCTGTGGGCTGCGTGTTGTGTGGGTGGATAGAATTCCGCATTTGCATTCATTTTGGCGCAGGATGACGGGCATGCAGGTAAAATCATGTGCCATTCGTCGGCGTGCACCAGTGCAGCGATACTTGCTTATACTGAAACAGAATGATCTCCTTATATTACATCCCTAAGGGTGTCGGTTTTCTAGGGATAACTGCAATTCTCTAAAATGGAGGGCATTATTTACTTGTTTGGGGTATACAATTTTGTTTGCTATTATGGTGTATTTGACAAATAAATTTGTAAAAATCAAATCTCGCCTGTAGGGCTATGCATTCGTTTTTTTTTTTTTTTTTAACAAAAAAATATTTCAATGTCCTTTAATATTTAAATCTTTCACATTTCATTTTAAATAATGTATCCGAAGACTAAATGTTTTACAGTATTCAGCATTTATGTTTACTATAAATAAATGTAACATTTAATAATTGTCCATAACTTCAGTCCATAACTACTCGATGCAAAAAAGTAGCCCAAAGTGCAGAAGTACCAGTGCTATTCTTATAGTTTCTTCCATCTATCTATCCTTCCATTTTCTATACCTGCTCGTCCTATGCAGGGTCCTTATCACAATGAAATTCTAGTCTCCTTCAGAATACATATCAAATGCCACTTATCACAGTGAAAGACTCCTAGTCACCAAGAGCCTTACAGAATATATCTTGAATATGTAACATGGGCGAATTACAGATGTATCTTCTTGGTTTACTATGCTTTTTCATTTCATTGAATTCTAGCTTTGTTGCTCCCCTGCAGATGCAATATGCTTCCCTTACACTATAAGCACTAGGACTGGAAAACATCTCCAGTGACAGATTCTGTGCTTCTGCGGTGAAACCTGAAGTCAGCCCTCTGGTAAGGGGTTAACATCACCAAGATGTTTTGTAACCATTTGCCCAAAATTCCTCTGTAATACAAAAGCAAAATGGCTGTAGCGTTTCAATCAAATCCAGTATTTTATTTCAATAAACAAACTTCAAACGACAAGAGTGGAAAGCAATTGATAGGTGTCACTAATAAAGTATTCATTACACGGGGAGATTCAGAGAGGCAGCCCCCAGCACCATCTCTTTGATGAGATGGACTGCACCAGTAATTTCCGTGGAGAGTTCCAATCATTGTCAGAATATCAGGGCTTTTTTTTTTTTAGAGTTCTGAGAATGAGGGTGAATGGAGGAGTAATCACGCAGCTCCCAGTTCACCACCCTTAATCGATTTCCACAGCTATGCCGCGGGCGTGTTGGCCAGTGAGTCATCCCCGCCGTTTCTGTGGGCATGAGGAATGCGGAGAGGAGGGGAGCGAGCCGGCACAGTGTCACGGTGCCGGCCTGGTCCGCTTACACATCGGCACCGGTGCTGCCGCCCACCGATCGAGGCTTCCTCTTCCGCAACTTGTACACATGGAATGTCTTGTTCTGGAAGACACGCTTGAAGAGCTTGGTGTAGGCTGGGTCGTCAGCTTTGATGGCCACGCAGAAGCGGGGATGAGGTGCCTGTATAAGGTCGGGCTCATTCTCACCAGCGTCGTCCATGATCTGAGGAGCACGCATGCAGATGTTGGGACAGCTGCACGGATGGTGCATAGACGGCTGACCCTGTGCTCAGACCTCCAGCTTCACTTCAACCTCATTTTTCATTTTAATCATACTGCTTGTAAACAGGATTTTCCCTTCCCTTTTATCCCTGTACCATGAACTGTGTATTATCGATGTACTAATACAAGTATGGCCACACTCCTGTTAAGTGCTTTACGGCAGCTGTGTTGTAAAAAGTGCTATGTAAGATTAACTGAATTGAAACAATAAATTGAAATAACACTGATGATTATGAAATAAAAGTGATAAGCTGAAGACTAACCGTTTTTGGGCAGGATAAAAGCCATTTTTTGAGAATATATAAAGCCGGGTCTGTAGTGATTTCATTGCTGTACTATTCCCTTGATGTTCAGATTGTTTCTGATCTATAAAAATTTGTCCCAGAACTTCCAGAGGTGTGTAATGAATGTACAGTGGCACTGTATCTACACTCTTTACTCTGTCTTTGACACAGCTGACTGGGCAGTGGTGGCTTAATGGTTAGGGAAGTGCACTCGTAATTAAAAGATTGCAGGTACGAATCCCCGACCAGCAAGACACCACTGAGGTACGCTGAGCAAGGTACCACCCCCAAGCACTGCTCCCCGGGTGCTGAATTAGCTGCCCCCTGCTATGTCACATATGGGTTAAATGCAGAGGACACATTTCATTGTTGTGTGCTGTGGTGTGTCAACAATGACAATCACTAAATTCTAATTCTAATTGGGGGGCAATGTGCCCATATCATGGGCATGGCTAACCTGCATGGGGCACAGGGAGTCCGCAACAGCCGCCTGCCCCCCCACAACAGCCTCCTGTACCTTTCTGCATCGGCCACCCACAGCAGAAACCCATAAGGTAGGTGTGTTTGTTTGTGATGTCATCGGGATCACTTTCATCAGGCAGATGTCATGTGTCACCGGCAGTGACTATTAAACTGCGCTGCACTGAAATGGACCGAAATTTTTCAGAGGGATGTTCTGACTTACTGTGATTGTTTTGACATTTTTATATATTTAGCAGATACTTTTGTCCAAAGTGAGGAAAGTTTGGGGTCAGGGAGCAGGTTTAGCCAGCTCCCTGTGCTCTGGGAGTATCTCCAGTATAGGGCCTTTATTAAACCTCCATACGTGATACGATTACTCTGCTGGCCACAGAATTTAAACCCACAACCTTCTGCACAGAGGCACAGACTGCTAACCCACTGAGCTAAACACCGTCCCAGCCTTGCGCCCTACGCTGCCTGGGATAGGCTCCAGACCCCCCGTGCCCCAGAACAGGATAAGCGCACAGAAGATGGATGAATATTCTGTCTTGCTCCACTTATATATTCTCCTGCTCAAAAAGCATGACCGTCTCTAAAACGAGTCTTTAGAGAGCAAGTGCAATATCATCTCCGTTTCGGAGGGCACACATCCAGTAGCATGTAGTGTCAGCAATCTGAAAGCAGAGCCGTTGTCATTTGTGCGTTTTTGGGACATCTGTCACATGTTTCCTTGGCTTAGAGACCAAGATGGCCTTAGTCCAAGTACCTAATGTATTGTAAATCTCAGGGAGTAAGTGTGGGCCCCCTCCACAGTCACAATGACACCTCCTCAGAGCCAGGAAAGATGGTTTGAGGGCATTTGTGCATGCAGGTCCCCTGGCCCAGCTTAATCCACCCTGTCCCTGAAAGACTTCCTAACAAACAAACAAACACACACACTCACACACATACACACACACACAGTTAATGTGTGAATTTAGACACTTTCATCCACATTACTGGCGGATGGTTTAGGACTCAGGGCCCGAGATGAGAAGGTTGCTGGTTTGAATCCTGGGGTCAGCAGGTTGATGCAGGTGAACGAGGCCCTACTGTAAACGTCCCAAAAAGCTACACGCTGGCTGACCCTGTGCTGAGATCCCAAGCTTCACTCTCACCTGAGCGTGCGTGTGTGTGTGTGTGTGTGTGTGTGTGTATAAACCAAGGAGACCACGATGGAACATCTGAGAAGAAGCATTCCAATGTACCTATACTCATACAAATGGCAAATCAAAGCATCATTTCATGTTTATCTCAGTTTTCTCTCTCTCACTCTTGCTTAGACACATTCTCGCAGAGATTCCAAGACATTTACTTCTCTGTCGTGGCAGAAAGTTCTTCCCGGTCTTGGTGTAAACGCACACAGGACTCCTGGGTGGATACTCACGTGCCCATTGGCCACATCCAGGAGGTCACGTAGACGGCAGCCGCGCCCGTGCCGACGCTCGTAGCAGATGCTGTCCTCCAGGACCACATAGTCAGCTCCCACTGCCTGCAGCGTCCGGTACACAGCCCCAGGCGACTGCCGGGCATAGATCTGGTATACCTGGAGAAGGATGTCATTACATCATGTCACATGACTGGATGAATGTCTCCCCCAGCTGAGAATTCAGACATCAATGGAGAGTAACAATAAATAATAAATGACAACAAACAGTGACAGCACAAAGAATGTCAGATAAAGTATTACATGGAATTCCATAGTAAATAGATAGAAATAAATCGTATTGCGCAGTGGGTTGTGCAGTGAATGAATGAAACTGCCAGGATTTCACTTGTTCCTGGGTGATGGGGCTCATGCTTCTGTGAGTAGGAGGTGTGGAGGTTCAGGAGGAATGTGATTAAGAAGGTCCCACTTTCTGCTTTATTGAGATATGCGAAGGTCTCACTTCCTGCCTTACCAAGATACAGCAGATGATATGATGGAGCAGGTCTCACTTTCTGCTTTATTGAGATATTTCAAGGTACCACTTCCCACCTTGCTGAGATACAGCAGATGATATGATGAAGTCTCACTTCCTGTCATGTCACTTTCCATTCTCCCCGACGCTACACTTTCTCCTCTATTTGTACTGCTCTGTTTCTCCTGTGGTGCCAGATTACATTCATGCTTCCAGTGCTTCTACGTACATCTCCATTTCTCCGCACACGCATACAGAAATCATCCCCCTCACTGCCGTACACTAATCACACACCGACTTTCCGATGGAAATACTGCTGCTGTTTACCTTTAAAAGTCCCCAAATATGTGCTTTAGTGAGCTGCTGGGCCCTCAGAGTGGATAAAGGTGGATTTTTGTGGATTTCACCTCGACATACAGTAAGTTCAGTCAAGTGGGTTGTATTGTGATACCATACAGGTGTACAGTGGCACGAAATGCCACTCCCCAGGACCACGGTGTGACACACAGACAGCGAGTGACAGGGGGAGGACTGTCACACGGCTTAAAGTGTAACACACAGGACAGTGCAAAAACAGGGCAACTGGACACACGGTTTACATACATTGTAAGTAAACAATAAATAAGAAAACAGCAGCATAAAGGGTGGAATAAATATAATAGATTGAATAAATATATAAATATAATAATTTTAAGTGACCAGCGCCTGCCTGCGGAGACCCCTGGACCTGAGCCCGGCTTGGAAGGGTGGAGCGTGGCCTACCTCCCGTGTCCTCTCCCGCAGCGCTTGGTCCTCATAGTGCGGGTGGTTGGTCAGGCTCCTCCCAGTACAGAGCTTGATGCCAGCCAGGAGCTGCATGCTGCCGGCAAACACAGCCCCCACGGGGGTCTTGGAGCTGGGAGGAGGTGATAGAGAAGCTGCATCAGTCTCACACTCGCCGGATGGCCGGCACATAAATAATACAGGAAGCTGCACATCCGCACCGCCTGAACTTACACAGAGGCCGGCAGATGGCCTAGAAACTCAGATCCGCAGCAAAAAAAAATAAATAAAAAAAGTCTGCAGCTTCTGAACAACAGCGGAGCAGATGTTGCATCTCCGAGAAAAACGTTGCTCAGCTGACCCCAACCTTAGCGGCTGCGTAAGACCCAGGCGGAATCATGTAATTAGAAACCCGCTGCATTTTATGGATACATCTGCTGAGGAAATAAATAATTGAAATCGTCCTTCTGCATCTCCGGCTACACGACCTTGAATTTCAATATTAGGAGAAATCGTTCACTCTGCCGGACTCAGGTTTACTAGCGAGTCCAACACGGGCTGTACTTGGTGTTTTAAGTGGCCTTTCATCTCCGTTCTGAATGCATATGGGGATCCCGTTCCCCTTCCCTCACACACTTGTGACTTTCAGACTTTCACTTTTTTCACCCACCCATAAAGGAAAGTTTAAACGAAGTCCAATGTCTGAAACCTGCTCGCGGAACGCTCAAGGACTCCTTATCTAGCAATAAAGGACCAGCGCGGCAGAATGAAAGGACGTCTCTGGGCACAAAAATGGAACTTTCATGGGTCTAGCGGAGCACGACAAACGCTACAGAGTGAGGGGCGATTCGGGGCCCGGCACCGAGCCCTCAACGTCATTGCTTCTTGTGTTGGGGGTGTCCTGCCAGTCCTAGGTCACGACTGGCTGCTTTAATTCAAAGATGTTGCCCTGGGGAGCGAGACGGGGGATCTGACTCATGCTATTTCTGGTCCCTTGTTAATCGCTACCAGCCTTGTCACTCACTCAGATGAATTTGTACTGCAGCTTTAACTGGGACTCGAACACTTGTGACTCCGAAAATCTTATGTCTGCAGCCTGTATGCAACTGCTGTGCTGCTCCTCCCCACCCCCGATATCTTATATTAGCTTCAGTGTTCTCCATCATTGTGCCCCCACCCGCGTAGGTAACTCTCATCCTCACCATGTCTGCTTCCAGAAGAAATTTTAAATGTGTTTCACAGGGTAGAGTCATGTTACAATGAAATTAATAATTACCACAGGATGCAGTGGAGGTGTGTTTCTGTTACCTTTCTGTTTTGAAAATAAGAAATTATTTTCAACTAAGAAATAAATTAAGTTGGTGGACATTTTAAATAAATTATTTTAATGTAAAAATTGAGGTATATGTTCAGACTTCATTTCTAGTTTTAAATTCAAATTCATGGTCTAGAACTGGACTCACCGCCCTCGGACTTGATCTTGACTCAGACTCGGCTTGTTAAAGATATGGTCTTGGCTCGGACTCGGACTCGGACACAGCACTGCTTTGCTCAGTATAGAAAGTTAGCAGAGCAGGTGTTATGCTGATATTGTTAGGAGTGTTAGGAAAATTGCCAGTCATGCAGTCTGTAGTGTCACAGTTTACCAGTAGGTTTTTGTTTATGACCCGTAGTGTTTTCTGTACAGTGAGAGTCAAGGCTCTGTTTTCACACCTTCAGATAGCAGTTTAGGTTCACTGCCTGAAGCCCAGGGGCCTCAAAACGGGGCCAACAACTCATAGGGAGTTTACAATAAATGTATTATTTATCTGTCTTTCACATGCTCTTGTTTTTTCCTGTTTCTCCGATAATAAACACAGAACATATGCACGCAACTCTAACAGTACAGGAAATATTTGTATTTTAATATTAGACAAAATATAATTATCATGTCAGGCAAAACTTCTACATCAGTGCACTACACTAAGGGCAAAACAGTATGATCAAGTCCAGACTAACAACACTAATCTATACATTTTACAAAAAAAAAAACACACTTATTACAAATGCACTATTTGATGACAATACAGTGACTGTTAGACGTTACTGTATATGCCTGATAATGTTTCACTTTATTCCATGGCATCTGTATGTTAAATTGACCTGAATTGGTTACACAGCCTTAAGCACAGCAAAGATCTACAAGCTACTGTAAGCAGTTTATTAGTATTGAATATCAAGAGAAACCAAAGTATCAGAAAGACCCATTTCACTGCCAACAGTTCTCAGACATCATCGTTCCTCTTAGAACCTGCTCAGTAGAACCAGGGGGGAGGGTGGGTGGGTCAGAGATGATTCATCATGGCATCTCATTAACAAAGTGGCAGCAATTTATAATATCCATTAACTGGCCAGTGAGCCAATCAGCAGGCTGGTCGTGCATGACAGAGTGATGGTTTGACCTCTGACCTTTGCGTGGCAGCTTCTCTGGGCGGGCGGCCCCTCATGGTGACCGAACACGGATAATTACTGAATATCCAGGTGGGATACTCCAGAAAAATGGCTGATTTACATTTAATTTCGGATTTATATTCCGTTATGTAAATGTCATAGTGTGTCGCCCTCCTGCCCTAGTGGCATTATAAAAACTGATTACCGGCATTAATATTCGAGTGGGGGTGCCCCACGGAGGCAGACACACGCCGACAGGCATGAGAATGAGTGTGCACTCCGACGGGGCTCCTGCAAGGGGAGCGGCTCAGCTCCTACCCAACACAATAAGAGATCCTCAACTCGGACATTACTCTGCATCTTAGCAAGGTAGGTGTCAGTGGGGGTGGGGGGACACCGTGAGGGGAGGGGATTTGTTGAGTGACCCAGAGGGGAGCGGGGATTGGGGGGAGGGTGGAAGAGCCTCTTGTCATGCAATTGCCCTCTCTCACCGTCTTCGAGCTCTGCCGTTTAGCAGACTCACGTAAAACGATGAAGATACTTAACATGTTACGATACCCGACAACACAGCGGTGTCCGTGGCAATTAGAAATCTCACGCTGGCTGGATGAGATGCTGTTCGTTTAGCCAGAGGGAGAAGCATTAAACGGAGGTGATTAGGGCGCCTAAGTGACAATAATCCCAGCGACACTGTGATCCCAGACCTCTGTTTGACGCATTAAACAGAAGTTACAGCCGACTGCCTCCAGCTTTCCTCATGTTCTCGGCACAAAAGACGTATTATACAGCAATATAAGAATAATTTGGCCTTTCGGTACTGGAGAGTACTGCTGGCTGCATTAATCATGGAGGAAAAGACGGGCGATTAATTATATAGCACGCACTGTGCAAGACGATGTCTGAGCCCTGAAATCTGAAGGCAAATGTGCGAAAGAGCGGTAATGAAGAGATGCACATTAGCCTGACCTCTGTGTTTTTGTGGGACAGTTTACTGAAACCAAAAAGCCTTCCTCTGCATTGCACAGTGGGCTTAAGTCATGCGTGCAAAAACAAGGACAGATGTGGGATCACTGAACATGATGCTCACTTAGCTCCTACGTGAGGAAACATTTGCAGGTGGATGATACTTTGTCTCACTAAATGGATTTACTCTGGGAAAGGTTCTAGGAGCTTCTGGCCCTAGGAAATCCCATCTGAGAGACGGGACACCAGGCTGGCGTACGTAACCGTAAAAATGCCAAGCTGTTACCTCGGGCGTCTCTACCCTCCGCAGGATTGAGAATCCTGCTGCTTTATTACCTGTCAATGGGTGTGAAAAGGTCCCTTTCGTTTCAGCACAGACTCAACAGCGGACGTCTCATTACAGAACCTGGCTGGTCATTACCTGATCCAGGTCATCAGCTCCACAGTGTCGGGGTCGTAGAACTCCCTCAGTTCTGAAAGTTCCTCCGTCACTTTGGGCCAGAACTTTGGACATGGAATACAAAAATGGACAAAATTGCTCAAGTCTGCAAGTCAGTCCATTTTTCTTCAAGTCCTCTATTCTTAAAATCAAAAAAGTATACAAATGATTTCCCAGGTACATCCTGTCTGATGATTCTTCAGGTTTTGGTACCTAACGAATGCCTGGTGGAGAAAATGCTTGGTGGACAAAATTTATCAAGAGTCAGTAGGTTTTTCGTGTATTTCTTGGATAAAATATCTATTATTAATTACTCACTGGTACCTAGCAGAGTTCCTTCATGTTTTAAACATGCTATTATCCAACCTCTTCTGAAAAAACATAGGCTTCACGATGACTTGGATGATATCAAAGGTTGGATGATTCTAAATTAACTAAACTACATGACAGTAAATCTCAAGGCATTTCATCCCCCCCCCCCCAAAAAAAAAAAACTGACTAAAAGCATTATGGGAAATCTGGTCTCCATATGTTAGGCCTAATGCCAAAAATCTTGGTATCATTCTCGACTCTGACCTTAAGTTTAATAAGGAAATAAATGCTGTGGTTAACAGGAGTTTTTCTCTAGCTCAGGACAATTAAAAAAATTAAGCCACACCTTTCTTATCAGGACAATTGTGCATGTTTTATGCATTGTGCATTTCCTTTAGATTACTGTAATTCTCTGTACAAATGGGGCCAGACAATCATGCTTAGCCCAGCCACAGTTAGTCCAAAATGCTGATGCGCGGTTTTTAACTGCTGCAAAGAAGAGGGACCATCTAGCTCCAGTCTGGGCCTCCTTCCATTGACTATCAGTTCATACAGGATTCAATTTAAGATTTTATTATTCGTTTTTAAAGCCTGACATGGGTTAAGCTCCTCCTTACATCGTCGATTTGCTATGCCCACATACTACATCGAGATCACCGAGGTCCTCTGACCAGCGCCTTTAGTCCACGCCAAGGTCCTGGCTGAAATTAAAGGGCGACGTCCATTTGCAGTAGTACCACCAAAGCTTTGGAATAACTTACCACTGCACATGAGGTGCTCTTCTTCAGTTTTACTCATGAAATCTACACTTAAAACTCATCTGTTTTCAATAGCATTTGATGAGACTTAAATGTATCAAAGGGCAGATCGTGTGTCTGTGTTTTATGTCGGCCTCATGCCTTGATATCATGCTGTGATCTTATGATCTATGTAAATTACTTTGGTCAGCAAGGATTGCTGTTAAAAGTGCTATATAAAAAATGACTTGACAAAACAGTTTTCTGATAAATACCAGCACTGATTTTTCACTTATTATTATTGTTGGGTTTTAGAAAAGGGGTGGGGGGGGGATGTCCTCTTACCTTAAAGTAAAGGAAGATCAGCACGGAGACGGGAGCAGCGTACCGGATGAGCCTTAACTGAAAAGGAAACACGAGACCAAAATAAAGCCAACAGAGAAACAAGACACACGACAAACTGCAGGTCAGCGCGTCAAAACCGAAATGCTTAAACTTAAAGACCAGCCTTTCCCGACAGATTAAAAATAGACAGAAAGGCTTTTCACCACCTGCTCTTTGTATGAGATTTCACATTAATTACACGGGAGTTTGCAGAGCCGAGCTGCCTTTCAAAACTTTCAAAGCATTACATCTGCATGATAATATTCACCATTATCATACATTTATAGCGGAAAAAGAAAACAACAAGAATGATTTTAGGCTCACGGCACAATGGCTTCAACCTGCCGAGACCTGAATCAGCAGGCATCTTGTTACGCGGCCATTTTAACTTGGAATATCTTTCCCTTATGGCACAAGAAATTACAATAATTAAAAAACATCTTTCATGGCTGCTGCCGACAGTATATACACACACGCCGGCACACATGACTGAACCATTTAGAAGTAACAAAAAAGGGACTAGGATGTGAAAACGGATTAAAAACCAAAAATTAATGCGCAAATAATACTATGTTTATATGGTGTATAAACTCGTCTAATCTTCTACTGTATTGCATATATGAAATGATGAAGGGCAGATACAGGAACCCTGAACAGAATAAGGGGTGTAGATGGATGGATGAATGGATGGATGCTCAATAAAACAAAAATCTGTCAGGAAAGAACTGCTTTATTAGAAACTCTTGTTTAACAGGCTTGATGATTGATTTTATTATTTTAATTTCTCCTTCTTCTGAAGGTGACAGTTTTGCCATAATATTATTTTACAGTCATTTATCGGTCTATTAATCAAAAAGCTCAATTTACCAATAAGTTTGCCTCATCTTCTCTTATTAATACTCAATGTAGGAGTGAGATATGAAAGTCAAGAACCACTTCGTAAATAATGAATTACAGGTAATTCAGCAGGGTTCCCTATCCAACTCTTATTAATCTAACGTATGACTGAGTTGGGTTGGGTTTGTCACTAACTCCCCCTAGTGGCAACTCGGGGATTCTCAACATACATTACAGCATATCAGAATGCTTTGCCACCTCTGGCTGATTAAAGTTCAAATTTTACCAGATGGTTGTAAGGGTAACGAAAAGCCGTAGGTACGTTTAATTGGGTATGCATATATTTTGTTGTTTTTATGCTGAAAGAGGTAGAATAAATGGGAGAACAGACTGTTCAAAGCAAAGATAGAATAAAGCTGGTTCCCTTTTGCAGTTACGGCAAGGGCTCTAAATTCAGTTCATTATCGGTTCAAAGTGTTTCCATGAAAATTTGCAAGCAGAAAGGCGGTAGGTTTGTTTACATTATTTCCTTTCTTTCATACAAAAGCAGCAGAGGACAGCACACAAGCATTACTAATGCTGTTTCAGTTCACCTTTATCAGGGCCACAGCGGAGAAGGTTTGCCCACACAGCCAGATAGTTAATTGCCCTGCAAAACAGCGCCTCACCTTGGCTGGGGTGTGGCAGCAAAGTGTCCTCAGGCAGATATCCCACAGCTCCCGCCCGCACAGGCCGTAAGCAGCGAAGGCGCACATGTGACCAGTCCACAGATACTTCATCCTGCAGGAACGCGCCAAACAGCAGGCGTATTAATCAGAGCTGGCAAAAAACATATGAAACGCATCGCGCTGCATCACTGCTGCTCCTTCGCCCCCTAGCGAAGTGGGCAAGATAGCTGGGGCCCCTAACCTGACCTGGACTTTTGGCTAACAAGCCCCGAGAAAAATGTCAGCAGAATTCAGCATTGTCAGTGACACCATTTATTAATTTAGCAGACATTTTTATCCAAAGCGACATATATTGAGAAAGTAGTGTCAGCCAGTCCCTGGAGCAATTTTGGGTTAAGTGCCTCACTCAAGGGCTCAATGGTGAAATCACTTTACCAACCCTGGGATTTAAACTGGCGACCTTCTGATCACAGAGTCCCAAGCCACTGAGCCACTCACCACGCTCAGCATGTAATATCAGACTGAGGGAGAAATTGTCTTAATTCACAGGCCTATAGACACCCCTGGCTAGACCCGTCCCGCAGGGCAGACGTCTACCTAAGAAGCTGGAGCTCACCTCATGGTGCTATAGGCCAGGAGGCCAAAGAGGACCGTGTGCAGCAAGTTGTACGCCACGTCCGGACGCAAGCCCAGCGTGTGCTGGTCCGCCTCGCTCTGAGAACCTCTGAAACACAAGAATGGGGGGGGGGGTGAGGGTAGGCTCGGAAAACCTAAGGGTATAATCTCCTGACCTCATCCGTTTCCCTAATGTGGTCCAGAATTCAGTACCTTTTTAGTATCAGGACCCCAGGGACAGAGAATCTGATTAAGATGTAAGCAAAACACTAGAGGGATCGTCTAAATACCCACAATTTACAGAGCTAATTAAATGTAATTATACCTGGTCCTTAAGCTCTAACTGATCATTAGCCGGTACACTAACTTTGAGGAATGTCACATGACTTTCTGTGAGGCTCCGGTTTCCATCTAAGTCTAGGGCTCGTTAGAGGAATGGTTAACAAAATTAAAGCAGGAGAACAGGGGCAACAGGGCAGGGGAGCGTACATGAGATTCCTCAGGGCGATGAACAGCAGGACAGCCAGGAGGACGCTGGTGGCGCACAGGTAGGGGTAGAGCACCAGTGTCCCAGCCAAACGGTCAAACGTGTCCAGAGGCAACAGGCCGAAGGCCTCCTCACACAGGTACAGCTTGGCATCAAAGTCTCTACAAAGCAAGGGGATGGGGTCACATGGGGGGCACCACGCGGGCTACGGAATCCTCACAGGGACAAAATTAGAAAAAGTTACTGCGGTTTCCAAACTCAGAAAAACTCAGGCGATCAATCTTTTCTATTCTTGTGCTGGATTTTCCGCCTCTCCTGCTGCTGAAGGATATTGCCTCGTAAAGCTGCCTTCAACTGTTTGCATCCTTTGTGACTATAGATCAATATCCCAAAAGCTGCTACGCAATCGCTTCAGGCTTCTCCTGTTTGTTTAGTCACACAGGTCTGGCAGCTCTTTACTCAAAGGGCTCATGCTTTTATATCTTTTTATACTACTGGATCTTCTACTGCAGAACTTCAGGTGAGGAACATAACGGAGGTCAGGGAGGTAAATTTAATAAAATACTGCTGGTGTAGAACCAATATCAAAAAAAAAAAAACCACAAAGGCATTTTAAATCAACTTACCTTGTTGACCCCAAGCCGAATTTTGCCTTTACAAACTTATAAATATGTTCATCGGATCGGAGCTGCAGGGATTTCTGGGAAAGGACAAGTGATGCGTGTCACTGAACTGTTCCATATCTCTACAGAAGGCTTTTTCAGAAACTGCATATAAATATTACATATGGGCGATGGAACAGGCTCTGTCACGGAAGGCAGAGGCTTCTGGCCGAGATAAGAGGAGTGACTCACCTTTGTTAAAAAATTAATGGTGAAGGTTAGGGCCAGCACCAGGAGACCGCCGAGAACCAGCCTGGCCAGCCGCGAGAGCGGACCTCCGCGCTTTAAGCCCGCCTGAAAGCGAAGTGAGCAAACAAACGACTGTGGGGGTTGGCAGACGAAAGCGAGGCAGTTCCGGGCACGGCCGCGGGGATTCTTTTAAGGGGCACTATGTGAAAGGAGGGTCAGAAGCCCACAAAGGGGGGGAGGGGGTTATCACAGGGGGATAGCAACTGGATTTAGGCAGGCTGCAGTTAAACCCCTTTCCCACACCTCATTTGCTCATCACTTTGTTTTTGTTTTTTTGCAACATACTTATCCTGCGATTTCAGAAAACACACATTCATCGCTCGGCCAACATGCAAACCTGCAAGCCATGTGACTGGCTCTGGGTAAATGGGCTTTGCTTGGTAACAGGTATGAAGATGACAATGAATAATAGTAATAATCATAACAATAATAACAACAACAATAATAACATTAACAATAATAATAATAATAATGCACAGTGCTGGCTGCGGTGGTGATTACCATACACTTGATTTGGCTCCCCCCAGGTTTGAGGGCCCCTGTTGGCCACAAGCAATAACTACACTAGAGGGGGGGGGTCCCTGAAGTCACTTTTCGAATGGGGTTCCGGGTTCCAGAAGCGACACACCTGCAGGGAAGTATCTACTATAGCTGGTGCTCGTGAAGCATCAAAATGTTATTACCATTGAAAATGTTTTCTTTTAAGTTAATCACTTGCTTCTGTAAGGTCCTGGCAAAATCTTTGAAGGGAAAGCTAAAAGCGGCAGCAGGCTTGATTAATTAGACCATTCAGCTCTACCGGCTGTTAAAAAAAAATTATATATATACAATAGAAAATGTCAAATATCAAATGATCCCAGCAACACTGCAGCTGACAGTCCATTTGTGCAGCAGATTCTTTTATCCAAAGCATTTTCATATAGCTTAGAATTTACAATTTAATCTAATTTGCACAAATGGATATTTTGAGGCTGTTCGGGTTACGTTCCTCACTTGGGGCTCACAGATAAGCCTAAAATAATGAGTGCAACTGTGTTCACCTGAGGGAAGTTTAATTCAATCGCAAACGGAAGCAAAGCGACCGCTCTGAGAGGCGGCCTCAGAGCCCGGCTTCTTCACCTGGAAGCGCTTGACCAGGAGCGTGGAGACGAGGAAGCTGACAGCCAGGGAGCCCAACAGCATGGGGTTGCAGAACTGCAGGAGCCACACCACCAGAAGGCTGCTCAACTGGACCACGTACAGGCGCGCCACCTATAGGACAGACACAACCCAGCAAAGGCCCCCATCAGCATCTCAGTGGAAAACATCACCTTCACCTCCCTTACTGCTGAACCTTCATAACAGCATTGTGACCATGACAGCGGTCCAAAAAGTGAGGAGTAAACACGGAGTAAACTGGGAGTAAACAAGAAGTAAATGAGGAGCCCCGTTACCTTGTCGGGAGAGATGAGGTCGAGGCAGTCGAGGACAAAGAGTCCGAGAGCTTGGACAAGCAGGATGAACTGGTTGAACTGCCAGGTGAGGGAGAACCAGAGCGTGGAGAGGAAGACCAGCAGAAGCACGGCTCTCTGTGCGGGGAAGGGAGAGCCAGCAGCGAGAAGGCTTAGTACACAGCGGTCGACTGAGGTTAGCGTGACATCACACACAGATAGTGCTCCAGCAGCACTGATTACACAGAGACCATACAGAGCGGACAGCGGAGGACATCAGTTACCATGTCTGAGCATCATGAGAGCGCTATTGAGTGCCTACCTGCTGAAGTGGCTTCAGCTGGGGTCTCAGGTAGTACGTGATGGAGGCCACTTGCAGTGCAAAGAAGGGCAGAGACCAGTTCTCCCTCAGTGAGATGGTGAACTCCACACGCGTGGTGTCTATCCTGCAGGCGGCCGGAGAGGTCAACACACGCAATGGCCAGTGGCAGGTTCATGGTTTCCTGGACCCCAGTCAAAGAGTCCCTTCTCTCCCCCTCCACAGATGTTACAAAAATGAAAAAAAAATAGCCACCGAGCAGAGTCCTAAGATTGTAGCTAGATGGTTAGCAGAACATACTGCATCAGTGTAGTGAGTTTTTGTGGTTACCAGACCTCAGGGGCCCTAGGGGGTGGCGAACGGCCGGCAGGATGACGCTGCCTACCTGTTGAGGATGTACCACGATGCAGTGAGAGCACCGGCCAGCCAAGAGTCACTCAGGAACCAGCTGGTGGCATAGAGCGAAGTGACGTAGAGAGCTTGCAGGGAGAAGACGGTGTAGATGTAGAAATATATCGGCTCTAAGTATTCCTGCAACACACAGAAACAGAGATAACGCTATAGGGCAGACTGCAGGGACAGGGTCTCATACACAATAAAAATATACATTTATCTGCGCATTGCCATGTTACTCAGGATGTGAGAAAACTATCCGAGCAGCTCCTGTATTCAGCTTTTCAGGAGCGTCTTATATTAGGATGCTGGACTTGCACGCATATGGAACATACTGCTGATCCATCAGATGGATCCTCTAACCGTGGCGTTTCCAGCCATGGTTCTGTGACACCCTGGGGTTCAGTAGCGCACCTGCAGGTGGTTTGCAGATGTCGAAATTCCGGCATTTCACACAATGCCAGAAAAGAAGACGTTCTAAAAGGGGAGCCTTTCCTGAATCAGAGCGCAAAAATATTAAATATTTAAAGGAACCCTCACCTGGTCCTTAGGTACTAATGTACAACACTGGGAGCGGCCAATTGCTTTAGGGCAGGGGTAGGCAATCCCGATCCTGGAGTGCTGGAATCCAGCAGGTTTTGTATCCTTCCTGGTCTGTGAGGAACCACACCTACGAAGCGGGGTTACCGGCTTACTTGTCGGATTTAAGGTAGTCTAGGCAAAATGTACGTGAATGAATATGAAGTCCATTTAAACTGTGGTACCTTAAATCCAACAAGTTACCCCAATAAGCCAGTAACCCTGCTTCGTAGTACAGGCCACTGATCTCAGGCAGACAGTAACTCATCAGGTAGGATGACACCCCGGCTCTAGGGCCCGTCTGCCCCTGCTTTCTCAAAAAGGTGTGTCACTATAGATGAAAGCGTCTGCTATGTTATGCGATCAGGCATTGGCGGTAGCGGCCCCCAGTTCTGGCCCGTTTCCATCTGGGAGTTCCCCGGCTCAGAGACGACGCAAACCCCTGTGCTAATAAGGTGACTCCCTTGAACACATAAAAGTCAGAGCGACTGTCACAGAACTGTCAGCCAGTTTGGACTTCAAAGGCTGTTCCTTAAAAGGGCTTCTGTCGTACCTGGACTGGCAGAAGCCTGTAGAGGATGCTCAGGAACACCTCCTGGTATATGTTCATCCGCTGTAAGACGTTTATGGTCCTCCTGGACTCAGTCTTGTTATCGTAGATGAGTTCTAACAGCCCTGACAATGAGAACCAGCACAGGTTAGTCACTCACAACAACGTCTACTTTATTCCGCATGTTTTTTTTCCAAATAATTACTGAATTATGTTCATGAAACTATACAAAGGCCATGTTCAACGCACCTGTTGCATCAGGTCAATGTTAGATGAATGGATCAAAGTAACAATGTTTCACCATGTCCTCCAACCAGTACCAACGCAAGATTTGATTTAGCCAGAGATCCTTACTGCGTTTCCTGTGCAAGGGCCCACATAGCTGGAGGTGGACAGCCCCAGCGAAAACCCTGAGCTCATTACTGTCCACTTATAAAGTTCCACTTTGTTCCCTCACAGGATGACGCAATGGCTATTTTTACAACAGACCTACTATTACATAACCGATAAAGAGAACCAGACTGTAGACAAAAAAAAAAAAAAAACAACCTGACCAATCGCCTGTTTGTATCAGAACCTCCATTACCCAGATGTTCTGCTATAAAACAGAACAGCCTGCAGGATAAGAACAAGGGGAAACCATTTTCCTAATTACCACTTTATGGAAAGCAAGGAAACAGCCGGGACCTCACCATGGTGTTCATGGGTCGGTCTTCTGAGAAAGTCTACTGAGCGACCCCTGCAGCAGCCAACAAATCCTGGAAGCGCAAACAAGCCTGCGGTGCTAGGTGTCCGTACCTTGCTCGATGGAGGAGGCCTGGATCATCTGTTTGTAGTAGGAGTAGTACAGGCCGCATTCGGTTCGGAAGGAGATTTCACGCTCAACTTCCTGAAACGCGGGGAGGCAGCGGGAAGAGATGTGGCACGTGAGCAAGGGGGTTAGACATGCACCTCAAACAGGAACCATATGGCAGCCTCAGGCGAAGAGCACCACAGACAAACCTGGATGATTATTTAACGAAAAACAAATGGACACAAGAATGCACTCGTCTTCAAAATGCCGGTCTAAATGTGACACTGCTAACCATAAACCACGTAGCATCTCTCTTGGGACCCCCGCCTCGGACAGAAGTATTAATGCACTGAACAGCTGTGTTCCTGAGGCTCAATCCTGGCTGATAGAGGGTCCATCAGGGCCAGGAGGAGCGAAACAACAGCCCAGTTTTGGGAGCAGGATGTCGGAGCAAGGCGGCGTTCTCACTGGGTCACCACTTACCTTCAGGTGAGAGAACCACAGCAAGTTCTCGTGTATAGAAAAGACACAGAAAGAGTGGGAGGCGCCCAGCAAAACAGCAAACAGGATCCCCAACGTCACGTCAACAGCCCACCAGCAAAACGGGGCCCTTGACTTCTGGCTTCTACAGTCCTCTAAGCTCCCCGTGGCAACAGACCTTTCCAAAGATCCCTTATCATGGAAAGTTCCTGGAGCATCGCCCAGCTTGCACTTCCCTCGTCTTCGGACATCCATGCCGCCGTTCGATCAGACCTCCCTTCCTCAGCCGCTGTGATTCATTCCTGCTGCCTCGTACCAGGTGCCTCATTAGGAAGTGGTGTAAATCAGTAACTGGCGGCAGCTTGCCCCCAAAACACCCCGCTAACTCCTTTCCCAAGACCCGGAGTCACCCATCGCTCCTCGTTAAAAAAGTGAGCCTGTCCACTTGCAAGCTGCAGATCCCCATCACCACTTCCAGTCCCAGAAAAAGAGCTTATCAAGTAATATTTTAAAAGCTGGGAATCAAATGCGAGCAGCGCTGGACTTCTGCTCAGCTCGACACTACAGAGCCGACTGATCCCATAACACAGTTGGGGAAGGAGGATACACTCTGCCACTTGTGACCTCAGTCGTAAAAAAGAATGTACATGGAACATTGTTCGGAAAATGTTGAGATCGTTTTTCAAACCGCTGATATATTTAAAACGCGAGCTGCTTCAAGCCCGGCATAACTCCGGAAGGCGCTGTAACTGTCACTGCAGTTATTTCATGCACAATGAATTTACAAAGCCTGGCAACAGCTGCTTCCAGCTCCGCAGCGACCTTTCGGGATTTGGAGGTGAGGGAGGGCAGGTGCACAGTTACCCAGTTATTCATGCAACAACGACAACCAGCAAACCTGCAATCAGCCCAATTCAAAGCAATTCACACAAGAACCATTACGGTTGACAGTGCTCCAAAATGGAGAGGAACGTAATGCTGTTTTTCTTATGATAAAGCATATAAGCAAACCCTAAGTCTACCATGGACAATGTACAGTCACAGAAGATTCTAACGCTGCATTAAAAAAAGCTACACTATCCATCACCAGCAAGGTCAGCTGCCTCATCATTTGTTTTCCTCATGAAAGCAAGACAGGATACAGCCTCCATGCAACTATGCTTTGCAGAAGCCACATCACTAGGAGCATGCAGCTGACCCAACGCCGCCTGTGAAGCTCATTTCCAGGAGAAGCCACAATGCAAGTGGGGGAACACCACGCCGCCGCGGCTCCAGATCACAGTGCCAGGCCGACGCAGGCTCAGGTGGTACTCTGGCAGAACCCTCCCGCATTCCCGTCACGTCTGATAAGCGTGGGAATAAAGAGATCAGCAAGAACAAAACCGAGATGCTCTTCCTGCTGGCTAGATAAACGGTTTCTTCCACGCTAAATATAACAACAAAGTACATTTATGTGGTTCTAACAGCTTCTTGATTTTTTTGTGTACTTTGTGAAGTTTGTTTTTAATCCATTGTAAAACTTGCTCATTTTAAAAGTGCTAAGACATTACTATAGCAGCCATATGTGAAATTATCAGTGTACTCCAGAATTACTCATTAAGTAACCATTTCCCATAATGCATTCCACCATAGACCAAAATCTAAACAGAACATAATAGATTTGGAGGCAAATGTATAACAGTTCCTGCAACGTCTTATAACAGCTCATTCGCTGTTTTAAAAAAAAGCTTCCCTTTCGTTTAAAATCTCCACAGCATATGGAAAACAGCTCTCAATGGTCTGGAGCAAGAGTTCTTCTGAAGAAGTCCAACAGAAACCGCAATAAATTTACAAGCCACACATCCATAAACCGTTTGCCTCCATTCGCCCCATTAAACGCAAACACAGAGCAGCCCGTGTTCCGGAAGGCTCCGTGTCCCACATCAGAGTCGGGAGGCACTGTGCACACAGTACAACAGCACAATCTGGAGAACTTAATCTCACCAAGACTGCATGGTGAGAAAAATCTCAATCCTTCATGGGGGGTAAATGCTGCCTTAGACATTAGACTGTGAAGATTGATCTGGACTGTGAGGAGGGGGAGGAAATTTCAACTATTGGCCTTGTGCATGACTGGGAACTTACCTTGATGTTGGAGAACCAGAGATCGTTTTCATGTAACGTGGCCATATATGTGCAATTCAGGAGGCCGAGGGATACTCCCAGCACGGCCCCAAACACGACCCAGATCCCAGTCCACCATGTCTGGAAGCCTATGGAGAAAACACATGGGACAGGAAGCAGAAAAACACACACCAAGAAAGAGCAAGGAAAAGTTAAACTTCTAACAATCTGGATCTTACATTTTGAAGGACAACTTGATGTCTATGCAAGTTTTTCCACTTACCGTTACATTCGCCACATTATTCAGGATTGTATTATTCTGTCACTGGCTTAATGATACACTTTGACAGGCTGCTGAAGCCAATGATGTAAAAGTGTCATTTTAGCCCTTAACCACAGGGGCCCTGTCACCACCGGCAACAAGTCTATCACACAAAGCCAGTGATCGCAATGAAATGGGACATATCCAGAGCCCCGTCCCCTGCATGGCGTATGACAGGAAAAAGCGGGGGTATTGCCAGCATTATGCTGTTTTTAGTTTATTTTATTTTTTGGCCAAACAAGCAGGAACCGGCCAGGAATTGTTTGATTTTTCAATTACAAGCAGGAATGTGGAGCTGAGCACTGATTGCAGGGTACAGCAATCCGCGGGCCTGGCTATTCAAAATGATTACCCGCCGCAAAGCAAAATGATGTCACGGCGCAGCGCCCGAATGCTGTCAGACAAAACAGCTATTTAAAAAAAATCTGAATACGGGAAAATGCATTATCATCTGAAAAATGGCGATATCAAAAACAACCTATTCTGGCCCATTACTCAGTCTTACCACAACAAATTTAAAAAGTAAAATAGCTGTACATACACAAAATGTTCAGGATACAGAATGTACAAACAAAACATTTTCAGATTGACAACTTGCACTGGCGGGAAAATCCCCCATGAAAGAGAGATATGACTTTTGGGTTTAAGATTATTGGAATAGATTAAGAATAGGGGTCAGAACTTGACAAATTAGAATTCATCACGGTCTATCATGTATAAGATGGTAGTGGGATAACAGACCTTTTCAGTACATGCTGGTATGATGTAACGAAAGGAACACAATCCTTAGTGACCAGTCAAACTGTACTACAAGGACCTGCTGATCGAGTAGCTATCAGCAACACATGAAAGTACTTTCCTGTATTTATATAGTAAACTGTACTCAGCCTAACTCGCCCAAAGCCACAGTGGAAGTGTGTGTTCTCTATCTAAACTGATCAGCAATATTAAAAACAAACAGCACCTGACCATGGGTGAATCTCAATACCAAGCACGCAAAGATCATACTTGTGGTCTTGACAAGACCGGTCTTGCTAACTTGCCTTGAATGAACACACTTGGGGCGCAATGAATCATGGGATTGGTCTCATTCGGCGATGATGCAACCGATGTGTCCTTGATATTTGGGCTGGAGCAAGACCAGCATCCGGGGATTTTTACCATTCTCTGTACTACTGATATTAGTATTGGAACTGGTTTTCGGCAAAACACAAGTATGGTGAAGTTGGCATACAGAGATTCACCGCATGCCTTACTCACTGGTTTGGGTCCTCTTCGCATGGTCCTCACGCGAGTCTGGAATTTGCCGCTCCTGACCTAAATCCTTCCGCTTTACGTCCTTTCTCTGCCTCAGGGTTGACATTCCACCACATCGGATAGTCCCTGGCCAACGGGACAGCGAGCGTCACTCATGCACACTGAAGTTAAGGCCTAACCCATATCAAGAAATACCAGACAGCATTTATGGGGGCTGAATATGGATCTATCAGCATAGCTCTATATTTTCAGATTCTGTTCAAGAAAGTCAGTTTCACAATCTCATCTGTTGAGTATAACCTTTAATTCACGTTATTTCAAGTTGGAAACAGAATGTTATAGTGTGATTTTAACTCCCACGTTACTACTTACTGAAAACAGAGCAGAAACACGTATGAAAGACAGAAATGGTTCATTGTCTCCTGGTTGTAACAGCCAGTTTGGCTCTTGTATCTTCTGAATAGTTGTTTGAAATTTAATACAGCCAACTTGCTATGCACTCGGTTGAATTTAACAAGTTCACTTTTTAACTCATAAAAAGTTTGTGCATTTTAGCCAAAAGTCTGAGTCTAAGATTCCTGTTTGGCTGACTATTTAATTACCCGTTTCTCGAGGGAATTAAAAAACAACAGTTAAATTTTGATGTTGAAAATAACTATAAAATACATGGGCCTTGCATTTGTCTTCTTTAACTGCTNTATAGATGAAAGCGTCTGCTATGTTATGCGATCAGGCATTGGCGGTAGCGGCCCCCAGTTCTGGCCCGTTTCCATCTGGGAGTTCCCCGGCTCAGAGACGACGCAAACCCCTGTGCTAATAAGGTGACTCCCTTGAACACATAAAAGTCAGAGCGACTGTCACAGAACTGTCAGCCAGTTTGGACTTCAAAGGCTGTTCCTTAAAAGGGCTTCTGTCGTACCTGGACTGGCAGAAGCCTGTAGAGGATGCTCAGGAACACCTCCTGGTATATGTTCATCCGCTGTAAGACGTTTATGGTCCTCCTGGACTCAGTCTTGTTATCGTAGATGAGTTCTAACAGCCCTGACAATGAGAACCAGCACAGGTTAGTCACTCACAACAACGTCTACTTTATTCCGCATGTTTTTTTTCCAAATAATTACTGAATTATGTTCATGAAACTATACAAAGGCCATGTTCAACGCACCTGTTGCATCAGGTCAATGTTAGATGAATGGATCAAAGTAACAATGTTTCACCATGTCCTCCAACCAGTACCAACGCAAGATTTGATTTAGCCAGAGATCCTTACTGCGTTTCCTGTGCAAGGGCCCACATAGCTGGAGGTGGACAGCCCCAGCGAAAACCCTGAGCTCATTACTGTCCACTTATAAAGTTCCACTTTGTTCCCTCACAGGATGACGCAATGGCTATTTTTACAACAGACCTACTATTACATAACCGATAAAGAGAACCAGACTGTAGACAAAAAAAAAAAAAAACAACCTGACCAATCGCCTGTTTGTATCAGAACCTCCATTACCCAGATGTTCTGCTATAAAACAGAACAGCCTGCAGGATAAGAACAAGGGGAAACCATTTTCCTAATTACCACTTTATGGAAAGCAAGGAAACAGCCGGGACCTCACCATGGTGTTCATGGGTCGGTCTTCTGAGAAAGTCTACTGAGCGACCCCTGCAGCAGCCAACAAATCCTGGAAGCGCAAACAAGCCTGCGGTGCTAGGTGTCCGTACCTTGCTCGATGGAGGAGGCCTGGATCATCTGTTTGTAGTAGGAGTAGTACAGGCCGCATTCGGTTCGGAAGGAGATTTCACGCTCAACTTCCTGAAACGCGGGGAGGCAGCGGGAAGAGATGTGGCACGTGAGCAAGGGGGTTAGACATGCACCTCAAACAGGAACCATATGGCAGCCTCAGGCGAAGAGCACCACAGACAAACCTGGATGATTATTTAACGAAAAACAAATGGACACAAGAATGCACTCGTCTTCAAAATGCCGGTCTAAATGTGACACTGCTAACCATAAACCACGTAGCATCTCTCTTGGGACCCCCGCCTCGGACAGAAGTATTAATGCACTGAACAGCTGTGTTCCTGAGGCTCAATCCTGGCTGATAGAGGGTCCATCAGGGCCAGGAGGAGCGAAACAACAGCCCAGTTTTGGGAGCAGGATGTCGGAGCAAGGCGGCGTTCTCACTGGGTCACCACTTACCTTCAGGTGAGAGAACCACAGCAAGTTCTCGTGTATAGAAAAGACACAGAAAGAGTGGGAGGCGCCCAGCAAAACAGCAAACAGGATCCCCAACGTCACGTCAACAGCCCACCAGCAAAACGGGGCCCTTGACTTCTGGCTTCTACAGTCCTCTAAGCTCCCCGTGGCAACAGACCTTTCCAAAGATCCCTTATCATGGAAAGTTCCTGGAGCATCGCCCAGCTTGCACTTCCCTCGTCTTCGGACATCCATGCCGCCGTTCGATCAGACCTCCCTTCCTCAGCCGCTGTGATTCATTCCTGCTGCCTCGTACCAGGTGCCTCATTAGGAAGTGGTGTAAATCAGTAACTGGCGGCAGCTTGCCCCCAAAACACCCCGCTAACTCCTTTCCCAAGACCCGGAGTCACCCATCGCTCCTCGTTAAAAAAGTGAGCCTGTCCACTTGCAAGCTGCAGATCCCCATCACCACTTCCAGTCCCAGAAAAAGAGCTTATCAAGTAATATTTTAAAAGCTGGGAATCAAATGCGAGCAGCGCTGGACTTCTGCTCAGCTCGACACTACAGAGCCGACTGATCCCATAACACAGTTGGGGAAGGAGGATACACTCTGCCACTTGTGACCTCAGTCGTAAAAAAGAATGTACATGGAACATTGTTCGGAAAATGTTGAGATCGTTTTTCAAACCGCTGATATATTTAAAACGCGAGCTGCTTCAAGCCCGGCATAACTCCGGAAGGCGCTGTAACTGTCACTGCAGTTATTTCATGCACAATGAATTTACAAAGCCTGGCAACAGCTGCTTCCAGCTCCGCAGCGACCTTTCGGGATTTGGAGGTGAGGGAGGGCAGGTGCACAGTTACCCAGTTATTCATGCAACAACGACAACCAGCAAACCTGCAATCAGCCCAATTCAAAGCAATTCACACAAGAACCATTACGGTTGACAGTGCTCCAAAATGGAGAGGAACGTAATGCTGTTTTTCTTATGATAAAGCATATAAGCAAACCCTAAGTCTACCATGGACAATGTACAGTCACAGAAGATTCTAACGCTGCATTAAAAAAAGCTACACTATCCATCACCAGCAAGGTCAGCTGCCTCATCATTTGTTTTCCTCATGAAAGCAAGACAGGATACAGCCTCCATGCAACTATGCTTTGCAGAAGCCACATCACTAGGAGCATGCAGCTGACCCAACGCCGCCTGTGAAGCTCATTTCCAGGAGAAGCCACAATGCAAGTGGGGGAACACCACGCCGCCGCGGCTCCAGATCACAGTGCCAGGCCGACGCAGGCTCAGGTGGTACTCTGGCAGAACCCTCCCGCATTCCCGTCACGTCTGATAAGCGTGGGAATAAAGAGATCAGCAAGAACAAAACCGAGATGCTCTTCCTGCTGGCTAGATAAACGGTTTCTTCCACGCTAAATATAACAACAAAGTACATTTATGTGGTTCTAACAGCTTCTTGATTTTTTTGTGTACTTTGTGAAGTTTGTTTTTAATCCATTGTAAAACTTGCTCATTTTAAAAGTGCTAAGACATTACTATAGCAGCCATATGTGAAATTATCAGTGTACTCCAGAATTACTCATTAAGTAACCATTTCCCATAATGCATTCCACCATAGACCAAAATCTAAACAGAACATAATAGATTTGGAGGCAAATGTATAACAGTTCCTGCAACGTCTTATAACAGCTCATTCGCTGTTTTAAAAAAAAGCTTCCCTTTCGTTTAAAATCTCCACAGCATATGGAAAACAGCTCTCAATGGTCTGGAGCAAGAGTTCTTCTGAAGAAGTCCAACAGAAACCGCAATAAATTTACAAGCCACACATCCATAAACCGTTTGCCTCCATTCGCCCCATTAAACGCAAACACAGAGCAGCCCGTGTTCCGGAAGGCTCCGTGTCCCACATCAGAGTCGGGAGGCACTGTGCACACAGTACAACAGCACAATCTGGAGAACTTAATCTCACCAAGACTGCATGGTGAGAAAAATCTCAATCCTTCATGGGGGGTAAATGCTGCCTTAGACATTAGACTGTGAAGATTGATCTGGACTGTGAGGAGGGGGAGGAAATTTCAACTATTGGCCTTGTGCATGACTGGGAACTTACCTTGATGTTGGAGAACCAGAGATCGTTTTCATGTAACGTGGCCATATATGTGCAATTCAGGAGGCCGAGGGATACTCCCAGCACGGCCCCAAACACGACCCAGATCCCAGTCCACCATGTCTGGAAGCCTATGGAGAAAACACATGGGACAGGAAGCAGAAAAACACACACCAAGAAAGAGCAAGGAAAAGTTAAACTTCTAACAATCTGGATCTTACATTTTGAAGGACAACTTGATGTCTATGCAAGTTTTTCCACTTACCGTTACATTCGCCACATTATTCAGGATTGTATTATTCTGTCACTGGCTTAATGATACACTTTGACAGGCTGCTGAAGCCAATGATGTAAAAGTGTCATTTTAGCCCTTAACCACAGGGGCCCTGTCACCACCGGCAACAAGTCTATCACACAAAGCCAGTGATCGCAATGAAATGGGACATATCCAGAGCCCCGTCCCCTGCATGGCGTATGACAGGAAAAAGCGGGGGTATTGCCAGCATTATGCTGTTTTTAGTTTATTTTATTTTTTGGCCAAACAAGCAGGAACCGGCCAGGAATTGTTTGATTTTTCAATTACAAGCAGGAATGTGGAGCTGAGCACTGATTGCAGGGTACAGCAATCCGCGGGCCTGGCTATTCAAAATGATTACCCGCCGCAAAGCAAAATGATGTCACGGCGCAGCGCCCGAATGCTGTCAGACAAAACAGCTATTTAAAAAAAATCTGAATACGGGAAAATGCATTATCATCTGAAAAATGGCGATATCAAAAACAACCTATTCTGGCCCATTACTCAGTCTTACCACAACAAATTTAAAAAGTAAAATAGCTGTACATACACAAAATGTTCAGGATACAGAATGTACAAACAAAACATTTTCAGATTGACAACTTGCACTGGCGGGAAAATCCCCCATGAAAGAGAGATATGACTTTTGGGTTTAAGATTATTGGAATAGATTAAGAATAGGGGTCAGAACTTGACAAATTAGAATTCATCACGGTCTATCATGTATAAGATGGTAGTGGGATAACAGACCTTTTCAGTACATGCTGGTATGATGTAACGAAAGGAACACAATCCTTAGTGACCAGTCAAACTGTACTACAAGGACCTGCTGATCGAGTAGCTATCAGCAACACATGAAAGTACTTTCCTGTATTTATATAGTAAACTGTACTCAGCCTAACTCGCCCAAAGCCACAGTGGAAGTGTGTGTTCTCTATCTAAACTGATCAGCAATATTAAAAACAAACAGCACCTGACCATGGGTGAATCTCAATACCAAGCACGCAAAGATCATACTTGTGGTCTTGACAAGACCGGTCTTGCTAACTTGCCTTGAATGAACACACTTGGGGCGCAATGAATCATGGGATTGGTCTCATTCGGCGATGATGCAACCGATGTGTCCTTGATATTTGGGCTGGAGCAAGACCAGCATCCGGGGATTTTTACCATTCTCTGTACTACTGATATTAGTATTGGAACTGGTTTTCGGCAAAACACAAGTATGGTGAAGTTGGCATACAGAGATTCACCGCATGCCTTACTCACTGGTTTGGGTCCTCTTCGCATGGTCCTCACGCGAGTCTGGAATTTGCCGCTCCTGACCTAAATCCTTCCGCTTTACGTCCTTTCTCTGCCTCAGGGTTGACATTCCACCACATCGGATAGTCCCTGGCCAACGGGACAGCGAGCGTCACTCATGCACACTGAAGTTAAGGCCTAACCCATATCAAGAAATACCAGACAGCATTTATGGGGGCTGAATATGGATCTATCAGCATAGCTCTATATTTTCAGATTCTGTTCAAGAAAGTCAGTTTCACAATCTCATCTGTTGAGTATAACCTTTAATTCACGTTATTTCAAGTTGGAAACAGAATGTTATAGTGTGATTTTAACTCCCACGTTACTACTTACTGAAAACAGAGCAGAAACACGTATGAAAGACAGAAATGGTTCATTGTCTCCTGGTTGTAACAGCCAGTTTGGCTCTTGTATCTTCTGAATAGTTGTTTGAAATTTAATACAGCCAACTTGCTATGCACTCGGTTGAATTTAACAAGTTCACTTTTTAACTCATAAAAAGTTTGTGCATTTTAGCCAAAAGTCTGAGTCTAAACATCCAGTGTGTATTTCAATGCAAATAGCCGTTTCTCGAGGGAATTAAAAAACAACAGTTAAATTTTGATGTTGAAAATAACTATAAAATACATGGGCCTTGCATTTGTCTTCTTTAACTGCTATTAACATCACTACATCCACTTATTATAAAGAATGGTTATTAATAGCATGTACTAATAATATATTAACAGTCCCCTGACAAATCCACCCACACATTCCATTCACCGCTAACTTTCAGTTACGTATACTGCAACTGGGATCGGATGAGAAAATGTAATATTACAGTAGACGGAGGCGCACTTTGAGCTTGGGGCATCTTATCCCGTATTCGGCGATCTCCATCCCGCTGAGTTTTAAAAGATCATCCGGACATATCATTCGAGGGATAAATGCGTGTGTGTTAACCCTCGTTATCCACGGATTTATCTGCATTTAATGCAGTCGGTTTGCATACTTGCATCCCGATGAACAACGTACGTCTCATCGCCCTATATTTTAAAATGAGGCTTGTCCATATTGTGGTTGTCCGTTTTAAAAAATAAAATAAAATAAATCACGGCAGCGGGGAGGGGAATGTTTCCACTCGCGGGCGACGAAAACATACGGAAAACGCATAAAAGGGCCAGCATGCACGGAGACGTGGCGGGTAACTTGGTTTATGAGTGCAGGATAACGGTCAATCGCGTCCATCTCCATTCATTTAAAGGCCCGCATCGCAGCGGTGTTTCCTACCAGCGCCGCAGCTCCGGTGTCAGCAGATCGCAGATCGGATCACCCGCTAATCTCGGTCATTTCCAAAGCAGGCTCGCGGCGCTCGTCTTGCACCTTTACGGGGCTTTTAAGCTAAAAAGGTGACACCTCCGGCTTTCTAACAACTCACCCCCCGTGGCTGAATGCGCAGACCGCTGCCGGACGCCGCTTCCTCTCGCACGGACACCGAGAAAGCGGGGCTGCTTTGGAGCGCTGCCTGTTTTCATATGTCGTCTCTCCACATGGTCGATGGGGAGATTTTTTTTTTTTTTTAAGAAAACCTTTTGTCTTGTCTTTGAAGTCAGTCAGGGAATATACAGTACTTATTTTTGTATCGTCGGGACTACACAAATATGGCAATTCAACCCAGCAAACAGCCCAGTGACATTAGTGCGGTCATGATTAAACAGTGTGGTGACATATAAACACTTAGAGCAGAGAAAACTGATAAATGTGAGTTTGTGCATTTCTCTCAGTGGATGCCAGCATTCAACAAATGTGTCTCTGGTCACCGTAGTGGAGGGATGAGTTTCAATATAACGCCGTTTTCTAAAAATCAAAGAAATATTTCAAGCTTTGAGACGTGTATCACACCAATATTGATTTGATTCGTCTACTTTCCACTAAATGCAAAAATTATTATGTTCCTACTCCCTAAGTCAGTCAGTGCTTTTCCAGTATTCTCCAAGGAAGACCAAACCACTCTTTCCAAATTTGTCAAAATATACAGTTAATTCATTCACACGAATGACTTAAATTTATTAATCTATTTTAGATCCAATAAAAGCTGTTAGCCGAGTTGTCCATCTGTTGGTGGCAGACAGATTCAAATATTTTGGTGCCAACGTGAATTTTTGGAATGTTAAGAAAATGAACACATTTATAATAATTTAATGAACAATCAGTATGCATTAAGTGTTACGTGGTTCCTTAAACCTGATTAATATGAAATCCAAATAAAAACAGTTTTTAAGGCAGTGTCTTTCGAGTGCTCAGGTGTGAATTATCACCTATTTCTTTCGATCTTGATAAATAATTTGAACATGTACCCATGCACATCTTGTTTGGAATTAAGTTTTCTAACCTTGATTCATGCTTTAAGCCTGATGTCAGGAATCAAACAATTCGGAAAGTTCGATAACCTGAAGGTATAAGTTTTCAGATATAAACAGTCATTAAAATCCTGCACACCTGTTCTGCTTCACTGGTGCCTCGTTTGAATTCGTACCTCCATATAGCTTACCATAGCAAGAATTCACACTAACAGATGTGGGTCTCTTTCCTCTGTCAGCGTTACAAAACAGTCAAAAAGTCGTTGCAGCAGGGGTGTGAACAAAGTCCACTTGGGAGAATTAGAGCAGCCACCGGCAGCAGCCCGAGAGATCAGAGAACGATTGAATCGGTGCAACACCAGGGAAGTGAACGAGAACACGAATCCACTGGGATTCCAATGCAGTAATGCTTTCATCTATTTCTATACCGGCATACAAAGCGGCACCTTGAAAAGTTCTCATCTACTGTGTGTGTGTGTGTGTGTGTGTGTGTGTGTGTGTGTGTGTTTTACATTTTGTTTTGGGAACCATTCTGCAAGAAGGCAGCATTTTGATTGCTGGTCGCGGCACTTCATTTACATCTCTACACAAATCACAATTATCACTTTATCATGAAATTAACTCAGCAGTCTTGCATATCTTGCATATCTATCCTTACATCTTTTAACTTGTACTGGCCAGAGTCCAGGGTGGATGTGTGATATTTTTATAATACTAACTAATTAAATAAGAATTAACTGACAATGCAGAAAGATCAGGAATAATTACCACTCTGTATAAAAAAAATACTGCAAGGGATTACACCTGTATTGCCTGATATTTCTAAGAAATAGACTACTAGACTGGGGGTCAGTGGTTAAGTTTTTTGTTAGGGGTTATTAAGACTGTTTATGTTGCCCCAGAGACCCTTAGATAGACAGAAACACTCCACAAAAAAGTGTCAAACACACACTCAACATGAATGGAGAATTTGAACTGAAAACTTAGACACCCCTGAGCATTCTCATTCCTGAAAGTGTTCAGTCAGGCTTCTCTTTGACGTTGTTGGTTATTCTTACCATATTTATTTACTTGTGTATTTATTTCACATAACCACATTGCTACATGATTCAGAATGCTAGCCAGAGGTGTGTGTCTCACTGGGAGTTCAGCTTGCGAGAAAGATTATGTTGTCTGGCTGTCTAGAAGCTTCTACGCCCTGCACTTGGGGAAATTTGTAATCAGTTTGCTTCTCCCACTGCTGGGCCCACAGAGCTGGACAGTGTTTCCTCCTTTCCCTGCCAACACACACACAGACACACACAGACACACACACAGAACATTCCAGAAACACCAGCTCCCTTCTGCTGCAGCATATTGCGTCCGTGGTTGTATGTCACCATCCCAGCAGCAGAAGGTCCATTAAAGCCGCCACGACGAGGGACACGGCAGACAGGACAATAGGAAAGTTCATCCCTCTGGCCCTCTGATTATTATTCATTCGCTTCTTTTGTTTCTTGGTCTTCAACCTCACTTTTCTGCACCTACTCACTCCCCTCATCCCCACCTCTTTCTGCATCTGTTTAAACCACAGACAGGACCAAGTCAAAAAGCTGAATAGCGGTACATAATATTGTAGTTTCCTGTATGGTGATTCCTGTTTCAGGGAGCACCTACTGACCACAGAAACTAGGGCAGAGAGATGGTCTCCAAGACCACCACCAACCGGATCTATCTATCTATCTATCTATCTATCTATCCATCCATCCATCCATCCATCCATCCATCTATCCATCTATCCATCCATCCATCTATCTATCTATCTATCTATCCATCCATCCATCCATCCATCCATCCATCCATCTATCCATCTATCTATCTATCTATCTATCTATCTATCTATCTATCTATCTATCTATCTATCTATCTATCTATCATGGAGTTACAATACATAACCCTTGGAAGCGGATGTGCTGCTCTTGTCTTTAAACAGAGGTCTTACTCAGAGCTGCTGTGTCAGAGTACATCCCCAATAATAGCTGCTGTAAACAGGAGAACGTGGCCCAGATGTTTGTAATGCAATGGCCCTGATGATGGGAGCAGTGAAGGACCCAGCTGACCAAAGCAGACCCGCCTCCAGTGGCTTTGTTTGTGTTCTGCACCCGCTGCATTGAGGTCGTGTTGAGGCCCATGTGACTTACACAGAGACCTCCTGCACTTGTATGAGAAGACTGAGTGTAAATAATGACTTTCCTTAATTTGTTTTAAACGCCCGGAGAATGTCTATTTGGTCAGAACATGATTTGTTTTCAAATCTGGGAACATCAGTTGTTAAGCAATATTTAGACAGTAAAGGTCAGAGAAGAGAATCATGTGACTGTCCTATCACATTTGTCATTTGATCGTTGTTTCCTGTATCTACTAATTTCCCCCGATCTTCCTTAGAATAAGGTATCGGGCTACAGTACAGCAGCAAGGCTATGTAATATTTCTATTTGAAATTTTATGTTGAAGAAAGTGAAAGGTTTGGTGGAATATGAAATGCATGTTTCCAAACAAGAACGTGAGAATGCCACAACAAAAAGTCACAGTTTGCCAATTTACACAACACCTCAACGATTTGTGGGTGTTTAATAAGCACTAATATTTATGGAAAGTCTCTCTCATGCAGGGGCCATCTGTAAATCGTCAGCTGAGATTTTTATTAGTTATTTTTGTTTACTTATTAACAATATTTCTTAGGCAATAAAGGAAATTCAAACAAAATTGAATATATTGTCATTAATTCAAATATCAACTCAGAGCCAGTTCAAATTATTTCCCCAGAGTCTGAATGACATCGGCTGTGGGTTTCTTAGATGTTTGAAAAATGAAATAAATAACTAGGGAGAGTCAGCACCACTGAATGACGTGTTGTGAAATCATGCACTTGTGGCAGAAAGGGACACTAAAGGGGTGAGCTCAGGTACCTTAAATGACGGGCTGAGGGGTATTCACCTTTCACACCAGGATCATGCCCTGTCATTGAGGGCCTGGGCAGCTTTGAAGGCGGAGACTCTGACAAAGTCTCAGAGATACAAAAGGTTCCGTTACCTTGGTAACCTTACATGTTCCCATGACAGTACGTTTAGAAAGACCGGCATTAGTCTGGGTAACCATGGTCTGCATAAACAGCTGGACTGACAGCATTGTGAAATGTGCACAGACCCATCGAAAGCACTATGGTAACAACTGGCAGCTATTTTGTTTTGGGAGAAGGTGAGGTTCTCCTCAGCGTCTGGAGGAGTTAGTGACTCTCCCGCCGAGTTCTTCTTCGTGCTGGTGAGCTAACTGGGATGGGGAGCTACTCCATCTCCGACAGCTTAATCTGGATGTTTTCAAACACTCCCCCCAGGCAACCATCTGATCCAAGCGAAGCTAATTTATTTCCAGAAACTTAAGAAGTAAACAAACTTTTCTGGTTCCGTACCTCATCGGCTTCCTGTTTATAGCATGATACTGCTGTGAGGGTGATCGACAGCCTCCAGTCCAGCCTAAGAACACTGTACTAATGCACAGAACATTAACAGACACTGCCTGGACAGATAATGAATCTTTATTTGGGCTTTTATTTCCAGTAACACGCATTTAAAATTCCTCTGCCCTGCACAGACAGCATGACCTCGACCTCCTCTGTCCCTCAACTTCTCTGTGAACTACAGAACATTACACAGTCAGGATGGGAACACAGGAACTTGCAGAACTCGACTCCAGCAGTCCAATTAGCCACACATTTCTCTTTGGGAGAAAAAAAGAAAATGCCTGCCGTATTTTGGTTTATCCGTTTATCCATGGCAACACACGGCACAAGCATTTTATTTAGTTGCATATGTGGCCCTGGATACCCTCTTAAACAAAGACAATTTGCCCAAAGCTTTATAGGATGAAAATTGCTTCCTGTTAAAAATAGCTAAATACACATGTAGAAACGCTAACCGTTCATTTACTGTCACAGGTACAAGATGTTTACTCCCCTTGCTTTGCCAAAAGGACTTATCGTAAAGCTGCATTTTGTATTAATTTTCTTTGTCGATGTCTTTATCCAGAGGCTTACAGTGCAAAGCTGTTAAACTCCCTCTTTATCCGCCAGCACAGCTGGATACTCTGTAAAAGTATTCAGGTTAAGTAACAGGCTCCAGTGTAAAATCCACTGCGTTTCAGGATTGATGAATGAAATAATTACTTTTTCCAGAATACACAATTCTTTCCCTACTCTAATTTGTAACATGCTTGAAAAAAAAATCAAGTAGAACTATTTTCTTGCTTAATATTCCGTCACCAACAAAAAAACACATTTAAAAGGATGCAAAAGAAAAGTATTAATCTAGAACACGTGAATAAATAACAAAAATGTATAGTTTAGCCACGAAATGTCAACAAATACAAGACAAGTGTGACCCCA